AAAGTAATGCCCACTTCCTGAAATCAAGGGGTGCCAAGTGCCATGCAGAATGTCAACATTTTTATTTATTATTATTATTTTTTTTTTTTGTGTGTGGAGTCCATATTCACTTTCCGACTTCAATGTTTAATCCAAAATTTAAATAAGCATTAAATAAAGTTTTATGATATTATCTATTTTAGCTTAAAGATTGACACAGATGACCGCATAGCGCAGTGGATTAGCGCGTTTGACTTCGGATCAAAAGGTCGTGGGTTCGACTCCCACTGTGGTCGAGTTTTTATTTTTCCCAATAATTGAAATGGAGAGGCCTCCACCTTATTTTTGCAGGCCCATTTATTTGAGCTTGGCCCAATAACTTCATTAAAAGGCCGAACTCCAATGGGCTGTGTTTTTTATAACGCTCCAACGGGCATTTTTATAACATATTATCTGGAATTGTTTATATATGATCTATTTCTCAATAACATGTTCAAATATCTTTTAGAATAGTTAAAATGTTACCAATTTACTATTTAGAGTTCACTTTAAACGTGTTGCTACTATACTGATATCTAACCGTAAATTATTTTCGCTGTCAAAAAAAAAAAAAAAAAACAAAACTGTAATTTATTTTCTAAACAAGATCTTTTATGTTTTGGATAAAAAGTTTCTTGGTTCGGGGTCAAAGTAGCAAAATAATAATAATGATTTTAAAAGAAAATTGTAAAAGTAATAACTATCTTTCGATTTTACAAAATTAGTAAATTTAAAGGCCCAAAAATCCGATATATCTTTAATTAACAAGGCCAAACAATGTTATATTCGATATACTATTGATATATCTTATCATGAATATTGATATACAAATGGTATACCTCACATGGACGTGGATATAACAATGATATATCTAAAATTTATTTTCTAAAAGTAAATGATATATCTAAAATATATATATATATATATATATATATATTTTTTTTACCATATTCAATTTCTTATATTGAATTATGTTTTGTTACTTATAAAGTTTAGATAAAATGTTTATCTTTTTTATAACTTAAATGACTATCTTCCCTCCCCCACACATATTATATATGAATGAAAATCTTGAAGGGTAAAATCAAAATAACAAAAAAGCTGAAAAATTAAATCTCAAATATTTTGCAAAAACTACAAAATCCGAATTTTAAATCTACAAAGTCACGCATTTTAAATAAGATATGTATTTTTTCTAGTACAATATGTGGGTGGAATGAGATATCGAACCGACAATTTCTTGATTGTAAATATATGTCAATTACTATCGAATTATGCTCGCTTTTAGCAAATAAGACTGGCATTAAAAAATGGATATCAAGGTTGCAGTCTCTAGAATATTTCTTAATCTTTCTAGAACTATTCCTCCAACTTGCATAATCCCAACTCCTAGTCCCCATTTTGCCTTCATTTTTCTTTTCATTTCGTTGGCTGTTAGGACCTATTATTTCCAAATCACATTTATTTGAAAAAAAAAAGTCAATTTTCTTTTCGAGCAAAAAAATGCATTTGGCAATTAGCATAATTATTAGTAACAAGACTTAAAAAAAAAACAAACAAAACAAAAACAAAAATCAAAAATCAAAACAAAGATACATAAGTGAAATAAAATATCTATTAGAAGTTTTTTTTTTCGAAAATGTAAATATCTGAAATTATAAATGTCGGACATGTTTAGATAGTTACGTTCTTTTTTATAGGAAAATTTATAAGGATGTTCGAACAAATTTTGTTGTCCAATTCGTTTAGAAGGGTATGGAACCTGAGTTCTTAAGGCATAAATAACCGAGGGTGTATTTTTTGGAGTGATTTTGGCTTTTGTCATCGTCAAAATCACTTCCCTTTTTTATCACGTTTATCAAATTAAAAATTTGATTTTAGGAAAACTTAAAATCACAGTAAATTGATTTTTAAGATATCATTTAGATAGTGATTTTGAAAAATCATTTATACTTCAATCTCTCTTTTTAAAATCACTCCTTATCACTTCCAAACTTTAATTTTCACGGTGAACAAGTAATTGCGTGTTTAATAATGAAGTTGAGATATCCTCGTGAATAATCATCATAATTTCTTAACTTCCCTTAATAATACACTATTGACGAGACCCATCTTCTTTGTCTTTCTTTCATACCTCTCTTTGTTTTCGTATCTTATAAACAGAAGCATTCCCCCTCCTTTGCAATCCACTATTCACATTAAGTTGTCTCCTTCACTTGTTCACCATGGAAATTAAAATTTGGGAGCAATGGTAGAAATAATGATTTTGAAAAAAAAGATTTAATAATAATTGATTTTCCAAAATCACTGTCCAAGTGATGCAGAATGTCAACATTTTTATTTATTTATTTATTTTTTTGTGTGGAGTCCATATTCACTTTCCGTCCTCAATGTTTAATCCAAAATTTAAATAAACATTAAATAAAGTTTTATGAATTTATATTATGTATGTTATCTTAAGGATTGACACAGATGACCGCATAGTGCAGTGGATTAGCGCGTTTGACTTCGGATCAAAAGGTCGTGGGTTCGACTCCCACTGTGGTCGACTTTTCATTTTCTTCTCTTTTTCATCAAATGAAAGGGTGGCCTTGATGTTCTTTTTGCAGGCCCATTTATTTGAACCTGGCTGAAGTACGTCATTAAAAGGCCCAACTTAAATCCCAATAACTTATTTAAAAGGCCGAACTCCAATGGGCTGTTCAATAATATATTATCTTAATTGCTTACATATCGTATTTCTCCATAACATATTAAAAAAATAAAAAAAAATAAAAGCTACTAAAACGAAAAAAAAACAACACATTCAAATATTTTGTTTATAACAGTTATTAATTTTTACAACCATTTTAAACATTTTATTATTATACCAATATCTGTGTTTTTGTTTTGTTTTTCAATGGAAACTATAATTTATTTTGTAAACAAGATATCTTATGTTCTGATGTCATTTATCCAAGGTTAAAAAAATATCTTTTTTAAAGATGGAAAATTAGAATCTAGACTAACTTTAAATTATCTTGAAGCTTTTAAAATATATTAAAGTTAGTTATTTGAAAATTCCTACAAAATCCAAAATCTATATATTTTTTTTCTTTTTTTAAAGGTTGGCAGAGCAGAGGGGGACGAAATCTGCCTAAATCACACATTTTAAATAATATAAGCATTAAAAAATGGAAATTAAGGCTGAAATGTCTCGAAACTTCCAGGAACAGAACTATGTCTCCAACTTGCAAACCCAATTTTCATTTCCATTTCGTTGACTATTGGGACCTATT